CCTTTATCATTTCTGATAGGTGATATTAGAGATTTTACTTTTCTATTTCTGGTTAGGTTGGCCAAAGGTTTATCAATTTTGTTAATTTTTTCAAAAAACCAACTTTTTGTTTGTTGATTTTCTGAATGGGTCTTTTGTTTTCAATTTCATTTAATTCTGACCTAATTTTGGTTATTTCTTTTCTTCTGCTGGGTTTGGGGTTAGAATGTTCTTCTTTTTCCAGTTGCTTGAGATGATCCATTAAGTTGTTGGCATTCTTTCTTTCTGTTTTCTTGATGAAGGCTTCCAGTGCTATAAATTTCCCTCTTAGGACTGCCTTTGCAATATCCCACAGGTTTTGATAGTTTGTGTCTTCGTTATCATTTAGTTCTAAAAATTTGGTGATTTCCTTCTTAATCTCGTCTTTGACCCAGCTATCAGTCAGCCTAAGATTATTTAGCTTCCATGACTTTAAGTATGGAGATTCCCATTGCTGTTGAGTTCAACTTTTATCCCATGGTGGTCTGAGAAGATACAAGGAATAATTTCTATACTTTTGAATTTGCTGAGGTTAGACTTGTGTCCTAGGATAGGATCTATTTTGGAGGATGACCCATGGGCTGATGGGAAGAATGTACATTCAGTTTTATTAAGGAGAAATGTTCTGTAGAGGTCTATAAAGTCAATTGTTCTAGGGTCAGATTTAAATCTAATATTTTTTTGTTTAGTTTCTTCTTGGAGGATCTATCCAAAATTTGTCAAAGGGGTGTTAAAATCTCCAACTATTATAGTGCAAACCTGCCACTTCTTGACAGACATTTTGCATCTTTGCTGTTACATACAATGCTGCAGTGAATAACTTTTTATGTGGTTTTATTTTGCCTGTGAGCAAGTACATGTCTGTGTTAAATTCGCAGAAGTAGATTTGCTGGATTGGAAGCATTTGTAAATTTGAGATTGCCAAATTGCAATTGTACTTGAGAATTGTACTGGTCTACTTACTACTAGCAATATTTATAAGTGCTTATTCCTTCATAGCCTTCTACCAGAATGTGATTAAGTTTACATTTATATCAATCTGACAGGTGAAAAATTGCATTTCCAGTGGGGGTGGAGGCTCCAGGATCCCCTTTCCCCAACAGATACCAAAATCTCTTTTGTTTTCAAAAGAGCAAAACAAAACAAATTTTTATACATACATACATATACAAGGATTCATCTTTCCTACAGATACCTTCACCTTATGTATAGTTTCCTGTTCCAGGAAGGGAAGCCATATCCCATCAGTGGTAAGAGTATCTGCTGTGTGTACAAAAGCAAAAGCTAGGCACTGTGGAATAAAACAAAAATATCAATATATACGTGTCTGCCGTAGGCTTATAATGGCAGGTAGCAAAAGACTGGGTTTAAAACAGTGTTGCTGCAATTTCCCAGTCTTTCCAGGTGATAATGAAGTTGGAAGTAGAGGTGCAGTCCCTAAGACAAGAACTTCATGGGCAGGGAAGAAAGATGCCTGCCTGCCTTCTCTGTTAGGAGCTAGATTACATCCATCAGAAAGAGACCTGTCGTTGTTTCTGTTAGCAGGTCTTTCCTGCAGTGAATTCCCTTGGGCTGAATGAACAGGAGCTGCTATTTCTCACCCAGTCGGCATCGGGACCTCACTCTTCTGTCTCTTCCTGGAATGGTGTTCCTGATGTGGGCATGGTCAGTGACATCCTCTTCTGGATCCTGAAGGAACATGGGAGGAATAAAGGCAGAGCCTCAGACCTCACCAGGATCCACTTCCACACACTAGTCTACCACATCCTGGCAACTGTGGATGGACACTGGGCCAACCAGCTAGCAGCCGTGGCTGCAGGAGCTCGTGTGGCTGGGAAACAGGCCTGTGCGACAGAAACCCTAGACACCAGCCGAGTGTCCTTGAGGGCACCCCATGAGTTCATGACTTTCCATTCAGAAGCAGGCTCCAGGATCGTATTAAACCCGAATGAGCCAGTAGTAAAATGGCACAGGGAGGGAATATCCTTCCACTTCACCCCAGTATTGGTGTGTAAGGACCCAATTCGAACTGTGGGCCTTGGAGATGCCATTTCAGCTGAAGGACTCTTCTATTCTGAAGTACACCCTCACTAGTGGAAGGTTATGGTGGATAAGTTTTCTAAGAAAGGAGAACTAGCCAACTTGAGAATTACAGAAAGTGGTTTGGAAAATGGGGTTGAGGGTGTCAGAACTGTTTCTAGATCTATTTGGAAGATAGCCAAAGAAACAAAAGCAGAATAAACTGTATCAGATACATTCCAGCCTGTTGGCAATTACATAAAAACATTTCAGGTTTTAATCAAAATTTAGCTAATGAGACTGGATTTGTGTTTTTAATGTCATGTGTTGTTAACAGTGCTAGAAACTCAATTCTCAAATCTCCAGTTTATGCAGCATTGTCAGGTATTTTAAGCCAAACTTCTTCACCCTTGAGAGCATGTCAGCTGGAGAAAGCACTTCTCCCTTCTTCACTTCAGAAGTGCACACTTGCCTACCCCCAGTCCTGACCTCTAGTAAAGCCTGATGTCCCACACAGGCTTTACATTACAGGTGTGATGTAAGAATCCCACACCTCACAGCTCACTGCTTACTCATGGGAAGAACCATGATTTTCATTCAGTGTTATAATGACAACATTTACTGAGTGTACTTTCTCAGTCTTCTGCTTTCAGACTTAGGAAAGAGCCACAGGTAAGGACAAAACAATCCCTCCTGTGCTTTATGATCACAGCAGGGGTTGGGGAACCCTGAGTAGCTTTGAGGGAGTGATTCATTCTGCAGTTTGGAAACCTGGATGGCATTGTGAGCTGAAGGACTATGCCTTCTTGTTCTGGCTTCTTAGATTGTGGGCTGGCTGGTGAAAGGCTGTATGGCCTGGGCTCAGCCTCTCTCTCTGGATATGCTTTCTGAGCCTTCAAGGAGTTTGCTTTTACAAACTGGAATATGCTTCTGTGTGTGTAACAGATTTTACATGTTTTGTTTTCATCCATAACATCCATTAAAGAGTTTGACCTAAGAGCCCCAGGATCATGAATAAATCTGTCATGTTATATATTTATTTTTTTATAAATCAAGACTTCTGTGTGCTTTTAAATATATTAAAAACAATTTACATTTCAGGAATCCTAAGTCTGTTTGCAATTAATTTTATTTCCACCATCACTCTGGAGCTAGATAAAATGTCAACTGTTACAAGCCACACTTGTTAGTCTGTTTTTAATGTGTTTGATTATTTTGTCTTCACTAACACTGGATTAGGCAGTCCCTCAGGCTGAGCCTGAGCTGTATGTCTGTCCTCTGGAGTTTAACTTGTCAAAAGTCACCAGTATGCAGTTGCCCAGTTAAAACTGTATTGGACGAGGCATGGTGGCTCATGCGTGTAATCCTAGCACTGTGAGGCAGGTGGATTGCTGGAATTTGGGAGTTCTGGACCAGCCTGAGCAAGAACAAGACCCCTCTCATCTCTACTAAAAATGGAAAAACTAGCCAGGTGTAGGGGTGGGCACCTGTAGTTCCAGCTACTTGGGAGACTAAAGCAAGAGGATCATTTGAGCACAAGAGACAGGTTGCTATGATCTGTGACACCATGGCAGTCTGCCCAGGGTGACAGAGTGGTACTTTGTCTCAAGGAAAAAAGCTGAATTGGGAGCTGGGTGTAATGGATCATGCTGGTAATCTCAGCTACTCAGGAGGCTGAAGTGTGGAGATAGCTTGAAACAGGAGTTTGAGAAGAGCCTGGGCAACCTACCCAAACCCCATCTGCACTAAAGTGGTTGTTTTTGCAGTTTTTTCTTTTTTTTTGGCTGGGGCTGGGTTTGAACCTGCCACCTCCGGTACATGGGGCCAGTGCCCTACTCCTTTGAGCCACGGGCGCCGCCCCTGCACTAAAGTTGAATTGGAGCACAGCAGATTGAAAGCATAATGAACCTTTTCACCTTCTTCCAAGGGCAGTGTGGACATGGATGTTGATAGGCCTGCCTAATTTAGGGTTCTTTCCCCTAGGCTCCCAGCAGCTTCTGGAATTGCAAAGCTACCTCAGGCTCTTTATTTTATGACTTCCCTCTTCCTCCTCAGGATAAGGCTTGATTACTCTGTCAATAAAAATTTAAGCTTATGGGATTGTGCATCTTAGAATTCAAAGCTGTTTATTAAGAAAATTTCTGGCTGCTACCTCATTCTACTCTGCCTCCCAGCTCGGTTGAAACTAATTAACCACCAACTTTCTAGTCCATTTTTATTAGAAAGGCTCATGTGAGAAGACATTTCTATTTTCCCAAGAATTGGAATGACTAACTTTCACGAACCAGTGCAGGGAAGGAGAAATAATCTGAGTGGGAATGGTGGGAAATGAGAAAGACACAAGAGATAAAAGATAGGGTCAGGAGGACTGGTGCAGCTGATGACTGCAGCCAGCACTTAAGTGTGGAAACAACTTTTATATAGTACCTTAAACAACGTTACTAAATGATGTAAGTCTTGGAGGCTGCATGCTTGCCGCCAAGATAAAAAAGGAAAATATGCAGGGGCTACGTGACTTCTGTCAGAGGAGAAAAAGACGGTTGTTAAAGGAGAAACAGCTGGGGGTCAAAAATAGCCCTGCCGCCTCACAGCCTGTTCCCTACATCTCCTTTTTATTTTTTAGTTTCAATTTGTGAATACATGATTTTAGTTGGAGGAGTTGCTTGACTCCAGCTCTACAGAAGACATTGAGACCCTGTGAAATCCATTGTTTTGTTAATGGCTTAATGATCTTGTAAAAGACGCCATTTGTCTAACTTCTTTTTCCAAGCTTGTAAAGCTAATTAATTTGCTGATAGGCTTCAGCCTGAGTCTTTTCACAAAATAACATGTGCAATAAAAGGATTATTTTGTCTGTTTCTTTTATGCCTGCTTGGCAGCCTGATCAGTCCATTTTGATTTTCATAACAATCACCTCCAGAAAGGCAAACCTTAGCAACTGACTTCCAGGCATTAGGAGGGAGAGCCTCATTACTTAAAGTATCTACTAAAACCAAAGTAAAAGGAGCTGTGAGATTATATTGAGTACATGTTTGTTTTAACTCCTTAGAGGTTTTTTAAAAAGATGCTGGGCTTGGCACCCGTAGCTCAGTCAGTGGGGTGCCAGCCACATACACCCAGGCTGGTGGGTTCAAACCTAATCCAGGCCAGCTAAACAATGACAACTGCAACAAAAAAATAGCCAGGCATTGTGGTGGGCGCCTGTAGTCCTACCTACTTGGGGGGCTGAAGCAAGAGATTCACTTAAGCCCAAGAGGTGGAGGTTGCTGTGAGTTGTGACACCATGGCATTCTACCAAGATTCTGTCTCCCAAAAAAAAAAAAAGTGAGGCTGATGTTGTCCAACACAACTGTAGTTTCTAGTACTGGGAAGTAAAAGCCATCTAGACATTCTCCTTGATCACAAGCTTGTGCAAGGATCTTTTATTAAACTTATAATTTTTAGTTTTAACCAAAATATTTAATGTAACCACTTAGTCTTTTTTTTGCCAATTAATTTGAGCTTTTTTGTATATTTTAATAGTGAAATATCACAGGGACATATACAAGCATGCAGACATACAGATAGACATACAGACTTCATATGTGCTAGCTTTTAAACATTTTTATTCCAACTGTTGCTTTTTTTTTTTTTTGGAGACAGAGCCTCAAGCTATTGCCCTGGGTATAGTGCCGTGGCATCACAGCTCACAGCAACCTCCAACTCCTGGGCTCAAGCAATTCTCCTGCCTCCACCTCCCAAGTAGCTGGGACCACAGGCACATGCCACAAACACCTGTTGGTTTTTTTGTTTTTTGGTTTTTGGTTTTTTTTTTTTTTTTTTGGTTTCAGCTGTCAATGTTGTTTGGTGGGCCTGGGCTAGATTTGAACCCACCAGCTCAGGTGTATGTGGCTGGCACCTTAGCCACTTGAGCCACAGATGCCAAGCCCAACTGTTACTTTTTTAATAACCTTATTTTAGTAATCCTCACTCCTTTGAGCCTGACTGTCCCATAATTTATTACTCCTGATTATGATTACCCCCAAAAAACATTACTCGCCAACTGTGCAGTTTCACCTTTTTCTTCTCACAGTGGACTTCCTCACCTGCTTAGTTTCGCTTTCCCATACCCTGGCCCCTGTTCAAACCAGAGGGGGAATGGTGGGGAATAAGGATTCCCTCATCTGCTTGCACTCACTTTCCTGTACCCAGGTCCCTGTTCGGGCGCCACTTTTCACAAACCAGTGCAGGAAAGGAGACATAACCTGAGTGGGAATGGTGGGAAATGGGAAAGACAGACACAAGAGATAAAAGATGAAAGCACTGATGCAGCTGATGACTGCAGCCAGCACTGAACTGTGGAAACAGTTTTATTTATGCAGTTTCTTAAACAGAGTTACTAAATGACATACATTTTGGCACATGGGATAAAGATTAACTTTTAAGGAGGAAAAGCTGCCTGCTTGCCAGCAAGATGAAAAAGGAAAATATGCAGGGGCTATGTGACTTCTGGCAGAGGAGAAAAGAAGGTCGTTAAAGGAGGAGAAGCAGCTGGGCATTGTTGTCTGAATGTCTCCCCAGGCTGTGGGGGCCCTGCTGCCTCACAGCCTGTTCCCCACAACTCACCATTTATATTCTTTTTTTTTTTTTTTTTTTTTTTGAGACAGAGCCTCAAGCTGTCCCCCTGAGTAGAGTGCCATGGCATCACGCTCACAGCAACCTCCAACTCC